GTGTGTATCCGACGTTCTTCTCGCTCTTTGAAAGAGAGTATACCTCTCCAATTATATATGGGGGGGTTGTTACTTTGAGAAGCTACTCATACTACGATTCAGAAATATTTTCAAAAGTCTATGTCGGATTACGGTAATTCTATTAAGGACTCAATAACTGCCGTTCCATTCCATTCCTATAGCGAGAATCTGATGCGTCCATTGCCCATCGATCTCTCTTCGGAATTCATTCAACAGTGCAGTGCTGATTTCTACCAGAATGAGTACGTTCCACTCAGTGTTGATATTGGAAACATTTTGGTTATTAATGGTTGGTTTTCTAGGCCAGAGAATGTCACCGACTTCTGCCGTGACAAGATCTTCTCACTGACGACGGAATTCAATGCGGCTGCCTTCTCGTGCGACTGTAACCCTAAGGTACGGTGGAGCGATTACTGCTTTCCACATCAACCGATCTCGCTGGAATACGCTGCTTGTAGGGTTCTGAATCGTTCTGTTGCGATGAATACGGTGGACAATGCAAATGCAAGGCCAACATCATCGGCCGTCGTTGTGAACGATGTGCTCCTGGTTATTACAACTATCCGGATTGTATCAGTGAGTTATTGCTTCGGGGGTGATTCTGTGGGAAGTAAGCAAACCAGCCCTTTTGGCGTTTCTGCTGGGGCCGTATGCTGAATGTTGGGGAGGGGATGGGGTCCCCGACGGTCGACGGACTACTTCAACTCGGTCCTTAAAACCGCCTCAATTTGATGCTTACCTCAGGACTAAGCCAGGGCCAAAAGGGCTGGTTTGCTTACTTCATTCTGTGGATGGTGAATGTTCGATAGTGGGTCGCGCAAGTAGGCTAAGCCTCCCCGAAAGATGGGAATATCATCCCAGTGAATGAAATGATTTGCCGATCATAGCAAAATCACTCATAAATATTTCAATCCGATCTTGCTATCTTGCAACTGACCAGTTTGGCCTTAGGATGAGCTGAGAAGGCGTGGTGTTGCATAAGAAAATGAAAGGAGAGGTGTGAGTTTCATCATCAGTGGACAAAAAAGGAACAGAAATTTCCTAAAACTGTTATTAGGGACTGACATCAAAATTGAGGTTACAGGTGCTACTACGAAAAAGAGGGCTCCACGTAAGGGGGAATAGCGGTCGAGGAAATTCTGGCTCTGTACTGTGCGAGAGTAGTGCCGAGATTGAACGTACGCACGGAGAGCACAGACGGCTCGCGCATGGCGAGTGTGAATGTCGACACGGGAGAGCGTAACTGATCAGGCGAAAATCCTCGACAAGCCATTGAGGAATCCTCGACCGATGTTCACCTCTCCACGGGACCGATTCTTTGAATGCATAACCAGCGTTCCAGCTCTTCATGCACAAACCATGCCGTGGATGCGTGAGCCGTAAGCGCACATGTGGTACACTGTGTGTTAGCCCTAGCTCCTTTTTTTTCATTTCGATCGCAGAGCAGAATGCCTTCTACCTTTAGAGAGTTCATACCGATATCCACCTGAAACTTATGGCGGACTATTTTGACTGTTCCGGATCACGCGCCTTATGAAAGAAAATTGAGATACTGCGTGACAATTGCGATTGTTCATGCAGGGACTGTGTAACCCCTGTGGCGTGGTGAACAGCGTGGCTAGTGGAATCACTTTCTGATGTGGATGTCGGTCATTCAAGTTAGGAGGGCAGTTATGATGCAGTTTCTCGGGCGAACTAGTTTGCACTCGAATATTCAACTATTCATTTGCATGTTAAGCTGACATACTCTCACTCCCTTCTGGCTCGGAGTTACCCTCACGCTTTTTTGGAAAAAACTGCATCATAATGCCCCCTCCCTCCCCTAACTGGAATAGACCCGTGATGTCGTTCTATACCAGCAGATAGCGTGCCCATAGCTGGAAACTGGTCACGTGAAAGAAGAGAGTCGTCCCTCTTGAACGGGTTGACCACTTTGGGTGGTTACGGAATTAAATGATGTCATTTTCAGAGTGCAAATGCAGTATTGGTCAGCAATGTGACGAGCAGACCGGTCAGTGCTTCTGTCCGCCACATGTTGAAGGTACCGCCTGCGATAAGTGTGTGAGCTACGCGTTCGGTTACGATCCTCTCATTGGATGTCAAAAGGTGCCGTCTATCTATTTTGGTTTATTTGAAAATATTCACCCCATTTTAATAGTGAAGATGCCAAAATTCAGCTTAATTATTTTATTCCAGTGCGGCTGTCACGTACAAGGTTCTGAAGGAGCGTCTCTTCAATGCGATCCCAACAGTGGACAGTGCTTGTCAGTTTTTTGACGTGTATTCCTACACATCTTTGAAAGAAAATCACTATGCATCGCCAGACTTCGAAAGGGATTGATCTTCCAATCGCTCTTCTAATCCTTCTTTCACAGGTGCCGAGAGTCGATTGGTGGCCGTCAGTGTGACCGTTGTCTGGCCGGATTCTACGGATTCCCACATTGCTACGGCTGTAGATGTAATACCGCAGGAACTACCGAAGAGATCTGTGATCCCGCTACGGCTCACTGTACTTGCAAGGTATGAAGCCGACCAGATTGCCATAAGAAATTGATTGCTGAGGAAAGATCCTTTAAAAATTGCTTAAATTTCAGGAAAATGTAGCAGGGCCATCCTGCGACACCTGCAAATCGGGTACATTCCATTTGTCGGCGGATAATCCAAAGGGATGTATCAACTGCTTCTGTTTCGGCACTACTGATCAGTGTCGTTCCAGCATGTTCCCTGTATCCATTGTGAGTTCGCTATTGTTGTTTTGAAAAATCGGCTGACTAGCGATTGAGGGCTAAGCAGGGTCAACCGTGCGTTGTGCAATTCTAATCGTGGGAGGTCGTAATCGGGTTTTTGGAGGGGGTGTATTAGGAGGATGGCAAGGATCAGAAGATTGGGGAAAGGGGCGTA